TTTCTTCTTAATTTTTTACATAAAATATCCCAAGAAGGGAAGGGGGGGGGGGGGCAATTTCCCGTTTTCCAATTTCATCACAAAAATTGTATCTTTCCCAGCTGTTTTATCCCTGTTAGATCCCTGCCATCTGTCCACTTCCACAGCTGATAAGAACCCTGTGCTTTAATGGGTTTCTCTGGTCAGATTGTTTGCTGAAACCACAATCCACAACCAATCAATCACACATTTATGGATGAGACGTTTAACTATTAATTTGTTTTATCTGCATCATCGTTGGTGACCTTTTGTGAACAGTTTGACATTATGTGTAACTGGGAACAGAATATTGCTTTTGGGCTTTGATTTTAGATTAATTTTTCTCTGCAAATTTTGAATAAAATGACCACTTCTATTTCAATTTAAATTAATTTGTTGAAGCTTTGAATCCCCAAAAACATTTTGAACGTCAATCTTCAGAGATGAATCAAAGGAAACCTATAGTCCATTAAGTCTATTTATGGTTGCTTTATATGTCATGTAAAGAAGATTCCACACAGATTTGAGGTTGTTGCCCATTGTTTTTATGGTGTTTTATGTTGCTGAAGAGATACACAAGGATATTTTCAGTACCACTGTTTGGAAATCCTGTTCAATTGGTGCATGTTTCTTCCCTACAAAAATGATGTTGTATTCAAACAATTTACACCAAATTTAAGAATTGTGAAGAGTTATTCATCCTGAAATGATATTTTGTAAACAATTTCCAATGCTGTGAAATCATAAAAGTCAGGGCAATTGTTTTACATTCCTGTCTATTTTGTGTGATTTGTTTTATTCAACATGCCGCCGCAGATTGACATTTTACCAGGTTTGCTTCCATTTCAGAAGTATTGGACCTCAAATTCAGTCCTTTTGAGCTGGATATTTTGTATATTTTGAATGGTCAAATTCCAGTCACAATCTTCTGAGAGAATTTATTTGAAAGATACATGGAGAATAATAGGTCCACTGTTTGGCCATTGGAGTTTGGAGTTTGTATTGTGTAACTAAGCCTTCTCTTACTGTTGTTTCAGAATACAAGCGAGCGCGACAGGAGATCAAGAAGGCATCCTCGGACACTATCAGACTACAGAAGAAAGCCAGGAAAGGTATGGCAGTCTTTATACAGTGACAAGTTTCAGGAATAATCCAAATTGTGTTACAAACCAATATATTAAAAAGTATGATATGCAAATATTTCAATAATCCAAATGGGACCAATATTGACACAATAGCTTAGAAGGAAATAGGGAAAAAACTTTTTAAGAGCATTTGTTTGTTAAATTCAAAATATGCCACTGTAATTATTGATTTGACTTGAATATACTTGACTATGCTTTCAGAGAACTGAAGAAATGATGTTCTTAGTAGATACGTTTGAGTCTGTCTTAGTTTTAAATGATAAATGTATGTATTGTACAAAATAAGCTCAGCAGTGGTGTATTTAGCTACAGTCAATTGCTGTGTTTGTTGCTGAGTTAAAGAAAAGAAAATCACCAGTTTGTGTCCTTCATTGATAATTGGGTTTTGAATTTTCCAGGCAAATGTGATATACAGACGCGACTGGACAACGCCATGCAGGACGTGAACGACAAGTATCTTCTGCTGGAGGAGACGGAAAAACAAGCTGTCAGAAACGCACTCATTGAAGAAAGAAGTCGCTTCTGCCAGTTCTTGGGTTGTTTAAAACCTGTTGTGGTATGTTTTAATGTGATACCAGGAATGTTCACACTCAGTCCATAACATACGAAAAACAACAACGATTTTAATGATGATAGTATAATAATGATAATAATAATTCCATAATGACACATAAATGTTATTATTAAAATGTTAAAATATTAATAACAATAATGATGATATTTTCAGGTTTAATAAATCTCCATGCATGAGATATGAAAAATAATAATAAAGTTATTATAATCATAATAATAATAATTCAAAGGTGACATCCATGGCATTAACAAAACACAATGACATAATAAAAATCATATTACTAAACGGACGCCTTTACTCCAGGATGAAGAGATCTCCATGCTGACAGAGGTGACCCACCTTCAGGAGATCCTGGACATCTTGTACCAGCAGTGTCAGGACCCCAACCAGCTACCAGCGTCCAGTGAACAGGTTATTGTGGACCTCAAGGGATCAGATAACCACACCTGGTCTTATCAGGTACAGGAGGGGGTGTTCATTGAACGTTTGTTAATTTATTTCCGGATTCTTCCAGTTTCGTATGTTATTACAAAGGTTATATTAAAGACTTTTGTCATAAAAGATATCACACAGGTGTATATTATTTATTTATTTATTTATTTATCCATAAACTTAAAGGCTTCTGTCATAAAGTACTTAGCACAGGTTGAAATTATTTATTTATTTATTTATTATCAATAGATTTCCATACTTCCTCAGTTTTGTGTATATTATTATGAACCTTAATGGCTTTTATCCTAAGATACTGCTGGTATATAAAGATAATCATAACTATGATATTGCTCAATGTTAATGCCCATATCCCCATGTATTCCAGACACCCCCCAGCTCCCCCAGCTCCCTGGGGTCCAGAAAGTCCAGTATGTGCAGTATAAGCAGCATGACCAGCTCCTCCAGTGGCTCCAGTAAATCTCACTCTCCCAGCCATCATCATATACGCTATAAGAACCCGACACAGGTAAGTCATGTGGACCCACTCACTCATGCCGTCCGTATGCACAGAAAAACACACATATATACAGCTCCTCCAGTGGTGGCAGTAAATTTCACATGCTATAAGAACCCGACACAGGTAAGCCATGTGGACCCACTCACTCATGCCATCCGTACGTGCGCGCACGCACACGCACACACTCCTCCTCCCCCTCCTCTTCCCCCTCCCCCTCCTCTTCCTCCTGTGGTGGCAGTAAATTTCACACACCATAAGATCCCGGCACAGGTAAGAAAGTCCCACACACATGTTTAGCTCCTCCAGCGGCGCCAGTAAATTTCACTCTCCCGTCCATCATCATTTATGCTATAAGAACCCAACAAGGTAAGACAGCCCCATACACACATAGTAAACACATTCATGCACATGCCTATGCATGGATACTCTGATATGTATAGCACCTGCAGTGATCCAGTAGAGCTCTTCCAGCCAACATAAATTCGCTGTAAAAATCCTAACACAGGTTAGATCCCTTCACGCGCACATAGGTGTTCATCAAACTAATGTAGTTTCCACTACAAAACCACCATAATCAACACTCAAAAAAAAAAAAAAAAAAACTACACAATGTGAAATTGACAAATATCCATATCTTTTATGCAAACTTTCATATGCAGTTCAAATTTATTCCTATACACATGCAATAAAGACAAACAAATTAAACAAAACATACATCCCTCAAGAAGTCAGCTTAGGTAAATCGGGCAGTAGAAAATATTCGGTAGAATGGGCACATATATTTACATTTGAGCTCATGTTGTTCTAGCAGTGCATTATTTAGTGTTTTATTGTGGACATGTACTCATACTCCTGTATGTGTGTGCATTAACATATGCGCTATATATAGTATATGTGTAACCCCTTTAGAACCTATCTTTCTTACTGCTGCTCCAAAATTACAAAGGGGCAACTTCAGGATTAAGAAATGGAATTCTTGCAAATTCATCCATGATCAACATGCACTTAACCCTCAATAAGATTCTGTTGTAGTATTTGAAGAACTAGGTTTATAATCCAGGTTTTTGTTTTCAAATAACAATCTTGTTGATAGTGCACCATAGAATTTTATTATTCCCACATGCTTAACTCACAAAAAATAAATGATATTTATATGCTTAAAAGGTATTAAGTTTTGACAAATTATACACTCATTTATATGTAATCATGCATTGAATGGCTTCCTGTGCAGTTTGCTTGTGCCTCCATCTATTGGTGAGTTTGCTTGAGCAGGTGTCTCCATCTATTGGTGTGTTTGCTTACACTAGCCCTTGTTTCTTGCATTATAGCAACTTGCAATGCCGGGGACTATGAGGCTGTCCAGCGTTTCTTCTCAAGATTCGGGCTTCACGTCGCAAGACACGTTGTTTCTGAAACCCCTCACTCCACCCGCGCCAGACTTCAAACGACAGGTATGAGTTGGACCAAGTGTAAGCAAATTTTACACCATTTAATTTTCTCTTCCACGGGCTGATTTTTTTTTTCTAAGATTTTAAAAAGGATTTTGGTTTGTAATACATTTGGATTATTGCTGTTAATCTCTCTATTATGATGATTTTTCTCACTTATTTTTTTTTCACCCGACTTCATGTAAGCTTACGCTGTAACTTATTTGTTGTATATGAAGTATGATTTTATTTATCATCTCTGTGGTAAACATATATGACATGAGGCATTCTCAGCATGTTGCTTGAATGGATTTCTTGGCCAATGGAGGGTAGGTTTTGTGGGTGCTGCACAGAAACGAATGCAGATTTTAAAAAAATCCTATGCCATGTGCACAAAATGTGCGATGAAAATTTCATAAATATTTCAAAGAAAATTTAGGTTTTTGGTAAGTGCACTTGTATTTGTTGTGGCATCACATGTTGATATTTGTGATAATTTTTTTCCAGGTGCCAGCGCAAGAGAACAGTAGTGGCAGTAGTACAGCTGACTCCAGTAACGCGTCCACTCCGTGTTCCCCCTACCCTGCCCCACCCTCCGCCACTTCTACCTGGTCCAACTGGCCTGACCCTCCGCATGTCCGCAAGGATCCCACGCAGGAATTTGAACGCCCACACACCATCTCCACAGCCTACGAGAAGAACCACACCAGGCCACCGTTGACATCACAAACTTTCGAGCCTCCAGACACAAATGAGTTGCTGGACCGCACCCTGACCCCTGGTGGCCAAGACCGACCTCCAACCCCACCCAGCGCCAGCCACTACCAGACGCCTAACATTGGGCTTCACGTCAGCGCCCCCAGGCAGCCTCAAGTTCAGGCAATCTACGCCAAGCCTAACCGGCCACAGGTGATGAGGGACATCAGGCCCCCTACTGGACCGAAACCAAAACCCAAGCCAGTTCAGACCCCCACGGTACCCGGATTGGGTCACAGTAAGGATGAATTCTCAGAAGACACGGAGGAGGGTAAAGACACATTACGTGTGCACAAACAAGACTGATAGCAGTAACATTAGTTGTGGGGGATTTTGATGGGTGGTTTACTAATTTGTAGAGGACATTTTGTAGTGTATTTGTTGGCTGTGTGAAAATGAGTTATGTTTGTTTTTTACAATCTTCTTATTGTTGTTAAACTGTAGTAGCTTTTTCTGTTTTAATTTAGTTGTCAGAAATATTAAGTTGACATTAAGTTAATATGCATTTTCCTTTAATGAAGGAATGAAGTTATTGTATGTATTTTGAAATGAATGAAAGAAGAAAGAAATGAATGAATGGTCTGGGCATGACAATGCTTGTTATGTTCTGCTCTAAATGTTATGTTACTCTAGTCTTGTTCAAGTACAGGCAGTTGTGTCTTTCTCTTCCTATCTTGTTTTAGTTAGTCTTTTTTTTTTTAAGTTCATTTAACCTAGTCTTTTAAATGTAATTTACACTAACACTAATGGTAGTTTAAAGCTTGTTTTATTCCATTTTATTTTTTCCATCTTGAGTTTTTATTAAAAGTTACCTGCTATTTCAAAGATTTCTTGTGTAAAATTAACCAATGTAACATCAATTAAAAGTTGAGATTTGTTAGTAAATCATTATTGTTTTTCAATGGCTTATTTTAACCATTTATTATAATTATTATTATTATTATTATTATTATTATTATTATTATTTAGAACTTCAACAGGCCACATACATGAACATGGAAGAAATCGCCAGAATAACAGGACATGGTAGACCTGAGGTCAACGGCAATACTACGCCACAGACGGCACAAACCCCTACAGAGGGAGCTGCAGAGGTGAGTTCTCATGTGACAACAAAATGGGTCAAATTCACAGATTTTGTTTGGTGCATTAAACATAACTTTTGTATTGGGACGGAAATTTACTACCTTTTGCAAAATTTCTTCCCTTTTTTATGTACATTTACTAGTTATTCTTGTTTTTTTGTGAAAGGCAGGAAAAGTTAAGAGGAAGGAGTTGGGTTGGGAGGAGTTTCAGTCATGACTGTAGCAGTGGTGTCATTTAAGGAAAAATCAAAATATGCTGTTCATCATATATTGAAGCAGCACATGTGGTTAAGATGCCAAAGTTGTCCCAGATGGTGAATGCCATAAATACTTAACGTCTTCGTCACAAGATGTGGTGACGTCGTGCTGTGACAGGTGACGGTGGAATGTCAGTGACACGTCAGTCATCTGAACACACCATGACATAAGGTTGTGCTGGTGTCACTTTATGATAGGTGACACTGAAATGTCACTGTCTTTTTACTATCACTTCAATATGTCAGTGGAAGGGGTGACAGTTTATTGAAAACCAGTAGTGTGAATGTATTCCTTGTTGCATCAGCAGATTGGGCTCAAAAATTACTTCTGCTACTAACATGTTATCCTTGCAGTCTGTACCTTACACTTTTCAGACTTTGTCTAAAATAGAACTAATTGGTCCAAAGATGGAATTTTTTAGATAATGTGAGGAAGATTTTAAACAAGAGCCAAAATTTCCATGAGAATGAACTGGAAGTTACCTCGGAAAAAAATTCTATTTTATGTTGCTATTCCTATACTAAATCTAAATATCAACTGTTTAGACCAGTGGGTGTTGTTACAGACTACCCTCAATATGGGCTTATTGCTTGCTTACATGTTCTTCCTGCATCAAATGGCATGCTGGTAGTGATCATGTCATATGACAATAGTATGGTTTAGTACTGAATTATAGTAAATCCAGTCTAGTAAAAAATAAGTTTTGTCGTGTTGAGTGGCATGAGTATTTTGAATGAATTTGGATGCTAATGGTATGGCATGGGATAAAGATATATATGACCCTGGCATGTAATAGGAGCATAAGTTTACACAGGTGGTGGAGTTTTGTGATAATTTGTAAGAAATAAATCGTGAGAAGTATTGGCTTGATCTTAACCATTTCTTTCCTCCTGTCTCAGGAGAGTGGGCATTGTTTAGACTTAGCAGCTGCTGTGCGTGAACTGGAGGCGAGCACTGCTGCCCTCCACAGCATGCATGGACACCAGGGGGCAGCAGCAGTGGCATACCAGGCAAGACTCTAGATGGCGCTGTGGTGGTGTTTGTTGTTTGCTATGTGTTTTGCTAGTGTGAATGATGCACGTTTTCGTGATCCTTTTATTTCCCCTACAAAGAATGCATTATTGTGATTATACTTTAAATTAACTTCTTAACAATATCAACTGCATGTACCTTGGTAAAATCCAAATTAATTTTTAATGAAATTGATTGTTTTTGACAAAAAAAAATACAATAAAAATCAACATGAAGGTAAAGAAAGGCAGTTGCTTTGTACCTTAGTAATTTTGCTTTTAATGCACAATGGGTCATTGCATTTTAATGTGGCTAAATAATAGGCATGCTTTATTATATGTTCGTGTCCCGTTTTGATGATTTCCTATAAATTTGCACAGCATGATTTTAATAAGCTCTTATTTTAGATGCTTGCTTGTCGTGATTTTAAATGCAAAGTGAATGTGGTTTTGTAATGGCAGAGAAATTATGAGGCAATGATTGATTTATGAATTGTTAATGTGCACAGGCTGATTTATCACATATATTTGGTGTATCTTTGAGTGTTGTGCTCACCGTCACCAAATAGTTACCCTCAGTCACCATGATTAGATTGTGCACCTTAATGACACCAACAGCTAGGGCAAGGAGACCCTGCTTCAGTGAACTTCTAGTTATTATTGTTAGATTGCTAGAAATTAAGAATAGAAAGACTTAAGTGATATTGATGCAACTGAGTGTACCTGGTAATTTTATGTTAAAACATTCAATTGCATTGTTATTGACAAAGTCTGTAGTAGTTGAACAAAATTATTTATTGTTACTTTTATCATAAAACATAATGTCACGAAAAAATGTGCTTGGTGTTGTATCGGTGAAAAAAAGGGGGGAAAAATGCACAACAGTCTTGGGCACAAATTTATATAGATGAAGGTGCTTGCTGGGCTGATATAGCAATATACTGAGCACAGTTTTTAACCTTGTCTGTTAACATTTTCAGGGCCCAGACTCCTCAGAGTTAGCAGACGCCATTCGTGAGTTGGAGGCGAGCACAGCAGCCTTGGAGACAACCTATGAACAGAACAACTGTGCCATCAGCCACGCCTCTCTGCAGTGCTCTAGTGGCTACGGCACCATGAACAGCACTCCATCAGGGTCAGAGGACACTATTAACAGTGAAGGTGAGGCTGTGGGGAGGAGTGGAGACTTCATGTGCAGTGTGATGCATTGTGGGATACTTCAGTTCCAGGCGTGTTTGCACAGGGACTTGCTTAGACCGTTATATGGATTCGTTGATATCAACAGAATCAGATTGCCTCACATGAGGTTTATATGGAATCTGGAATCTTGTGATATCAACTTATTCCTTTTAAGTCTAAGTTTGACTTTGTGTAAACATGGTCATTTGTTGGCTTTCGGAATTGGTTGTCATTTTTGACTTGCTCATTTATACATCCTACACTGAGAGTAAAGCCCCTTTTACACTGGACGTCATCACTGGACATAGTACAGTCCTGTTTGAGAGTAAAAAAAAACTTCATGTGCCAACAACTGGCCGATCATTGAGCATTCATTCTGCAACCAAAGTGATGCTTGTGCCTCATTTTTACGACCACAACAGTCAATAATGCCAGAAAGGACGCCATCCAGTGTAAAGGGGGTTTACGTGGTTACATAACCTCTTATTTAGAATCATCATGATTGTGTACATCAAGGTAGCTTAATAGGGCATGTGTTTTTGCCTGACTGCAGCAGCTGAGAATGATGCTACTTGAATTGCATTGGGGAGGATCCAGGGTTGTGCACATTTCTTTCCATTTGCACCACATTGGCTTTGAAATGCTTGGGGATGCTTCTTTTTTTGCACTCTTTTTTTTGTGTTGATAGATACCCATGCACTGTTCACATCAGTTTTTGTGCTGCTTTTAGAATCCTTCAAGCAAACCTACATTTCCTGCAAAAGGAAGCATCTTTCCATGTTTTTTTACTGTAGATCATGTGCTTGAAACCAGTGCTGTCTGGCACATCTTCTTACTGAATTTGCTATGCATTCTTTATTTATGTTGTATCTTGAAATATGTATTTGTTCAGAGTTAAAGTGACTTTCTCTTTAATGTTGCTTCTCTTTTCTGACATTTCTAGACTTAAGCATCTTGAATTAATATCAGTGTTGTAAAATAGTAAAAAGTAACATTGTTTCTTCAGAATATTTTGTTGTACTTCTACTTGTTTATGTTTGCATTTTCTGTGATATTATTTATTTAAATCCTGTTTACCTTCATTTTTTTCTATTTGTGTGCTTTCTGCATGTGTTATTTATAGACTTGGATGTAACTCCCGAAGCCAGTGACAACGAATGGGAAAAATACTCAACTATCCCACGTAATCGTGACGTCAGCCGCTCCTATAGACCTCCTGTTCAAATTAAACGACCAGCTTCTACTGCAGGTCTGTCTATAGTATAGATGGCGCCACTGTCTGGCATAATAAGTCAGTGGAATAAATAGCTACAATTGATCGGATAAAAATCATTCAATGTCTTTTTTTTTAATAATTTTTTTCATCTTCAGCTTTCTTTCTGCTAATATAATGCACTTAATGTGCACTGTAACCTAGGATTTTTTCCTAATGCCTTAAAAATTGGGTGAAGGGCAGATTAGATAGGTGCAACTAGTTCATCTTTATGCCAAAGAGTACTGAGTAGTATGAGCTTTGCTTTTTTTGGAAATTTAACAATTGGCAAGAATTTCAAAAGTTCCTGTTTTTCTTTTTTTTTTTCTCCATTATATAAGTAAGAAGTTTTAGGGGTCCATTTAATGAAGGAAATTTTCAAACTGACTTTTGCTGCATTCCAGGTTTCCCTGCAGGTCAAAACCAGGGCACAGGTACGATACGACGCGCCTCCATGGCAGGGCCGAAGCCACCGCCTCCTGTACGGCGCACATCCTCTCTGAGCTATGGGCAAACCACTACCCCGCGCATGCAGTCCAAGCGTCCACAGTCTGTCCACCCGGGTGGTCCTCAACAACAACAACAGATGGCGCCACCTCCTGTTCACGCCCACACGGAGCCCAATTTACAGCAAATACAGCATGAGCTACATCAGCAACATTATCAACAGCCACAGTATCAGCAGCAACAGCAGACTCAACAAAATATAGGACAACAACAAAGCCACCCACAGCTGCGTAGGACCTATTCAGATCCTAAACAAACTGCTGCGCCTATGACCATGGATTCCAATGCACGCGCTAGTATTATTCAGGCTTTGAATGCCAGGTTTTCATCTCAGCAATCTGGGCAACCTCCTGTACAACAACAGCAACAACAACAACAACAATTTCCAGTACAGCAACCACAGCCACAGCAAATGAAGCAGAAGACTCCTCCACCCACGATGAAGAAACCTTCACCAATACAAGAGAATCGAGATGCACACTTGCCCAACGGGAATGGAGAAACTGCAGTCACAGGCGGAGGAGGAGGAGATATGTTGTCACAAATTCGCATGGGCATCACCTTGAAAAAGACAGTATGCAATGACAGGTCGGCCCCAAGAATATCCAGGACTTCAACGTTATGATTTCTGAGCGAACGAAAGACTTCGTAATTATATAATTGTATGCATGGTGCCATTATAGAAAGGTCACGACCTTGGCTTTAAAATAACCACGTCTAAGAACCCTCGTTGTATTCAAGTGAGGAGGAAGCTTGGGTCCGTGCCTGTCATATTTTTCAGTCCAGGTAAATATCAGGGACCTTAGAAGAAACAACTGCCATTCTTTAAGCCTTGCATGTCAGCTGTATATGAAAACATGATTGTACATAAGAAGATGCTATGAGGCTGTGTAAATGCCAGAGAAATGGAGAAAAATACACTGAGAGACTTGATCAAAGCATTTCAGTATATGTATATCAATGCCAAATGTATTTAACTCTTGGAAGCTTCAGGGGAATATGTATCTATGGAGGGATGATATGACGGTCATTTTGAGGCGAGACATCCTTATTCTGTGACTGTTACTTCATATGATGTTGATGAAATTGATGATGATGATGATGATGATGATGTTGATGATGATGATGATGATATTAGCATTGCTGGTTGTGGTGGATGGCAAAAAGTTCATAGTTTATAAGTGTAAAGGAATAGGGATGAAGAGACTGGTTAAAATTTACTGCATTTTATTATTATTTTTTTTAATCAAGAAATATTCATTCTGTGACTAAAACTTCCTGATGATGTTATTGCTCGTGAGACATGGAGGACAGGAAAGTGTTCATAGTTTATAGATGTGAAGCAGTTGGGATGATGATATGATTTGAAGTTCTCCCTAAAAAAAGTTAACTGAAGTCTAATGGTTTAAGTGCTGGGACGTGGACAGCACAGTTGAAAGCTGTTGTGGAAGTTGATGAGAATTTAAGGACAAAAGTGCAAATGGAGAATGAAGCGGCCAATGATTTATTTCTTTATTTTTGAGGGCAAACCATGCCCTGATGAACTACTGATGTGTCACTGTGTAAAAACACAGTGCATGGAATACAAACTAAGTATGCAGAAGTAGCTGTGGCGTAAATGCTTCATTAAAGAGAAATATGTGAAAGTGGAGTGAACTGAACAAAAAAACTCTAGAGGTGAAAGACTTTTTTATGTAGTCATGTACATAGTAATTACTATAAAAACAGAGGGAGAGGGGAATGCTATTATTAACTCATGTATGGTACAAATATATGTTCTAACCAACGCGTACAACGACCAGTGATTTCTTCAACTACTATTTAGGTTTATTAATTGTATTGTGTACATTTTGTAAGTAAAGTTTTTCTCCTTGGTGTATTTTGCCATGGTTGTCACAGGTAGTTTTTGAGTAATTGATCTCATGTGCAAAGTCTGATAAGTATGCAGTTGAGTAGATGAAGTTTGGAACGTGGTTATTCGTCTTTTTAATTATTATTATTTTATTTTTTTATGGTAAATGGTTCATACATTTTTTGCATTTTTAAAAGATGTCCAACTTCTTGGTTTCTGTTTGATTTAAGAAGTAGACGTGGAAGAAAAATTTGCAAAGTGTTGGTATTTTCACACCTCAATGCAATAATAGAATTTGATCAAAACTGAAATCAAAAAGATGGGGTGTTTGGAGAATTGACTATTTCTCCTGTAAACAAGTGTAAATTGACATAGATTTCATTGGCAGCAGCCATCTTGAAAAACGTAACAATAGGCTGTGTTCTGGAGGAGAAGATATTCTGATGTTTTAAAATGTTTTATTATTACAAGTAAATAACACTTTTATTATTATTCATTATTATTTTAATGTTATAATTATTGTTTTATAAGGGTTTTATGTTCTGTTTTAGGAGCATTCAAATAACAGCATATTTGAATTTGGAGCATTTTAAGTTTGAACTGCATTTCTTTTGGTTCACTGTCATTGTATCCTTACTGCACACATTGAAGAACTGTTCAAAAAAACTTCAAGTATATCATATTTATTTATAATTTTCATATGCATATCTCTTAAAAATCACAGCAGACAAAAGTAAGCATTAATTCTGTAGCATGAAAAATGATTCAATGGGATTTTGCATTTTAACTGCTTCATTTACAAAATTTCCCCGTCACTGTACATAAATATAGACGCCAAAATCTGTCAGCAAAACTGGGTATTTTCTTTATGTATGATACTTATTTCTGTAACACCCTATATATTACATATGAAATAAATTGTATGAAATAATGAATAGGCATCTTTGGTTATCTTTGGGACCTTGAATATAGCTACATAAATTGGGTTGACACAAGGAAGCTTTGATTGATGTGCAGATTCAACAATAACTGAAAGTGATAGGAAACGTTATGTCATATGAAACTGAAAGGAGTGTGTCTTATGGGAAAAAGAATTAAAGAAAGTCCCAAGAGGACCAGTTTGCTAAAACAGAGAGATCACAAATAAGCTTTGCAGTGTCTATTGTTTCACTAATTATCACAGTAGAATGGGTAGTCTAAAGGTAAAAAATCTATATACAGTGTCTCGAATAATACAACCCATGATAAACAACTTTAAAGACAACCAAGTACGTGAAAACAGATATAATACATAGAGCATGGGCTAATTCAAAACCAGCTCCAAATTATTGTTCTGTAGTAATATATAACAAAACAACAAGACGGTACACATTTGCGAACAGCCCTTGGCGTGAGACACCAAAAGATTAAATTACTACAATACACGCAAAATTGCGCCGCTTCTGTTAGTACAGTTGTTCGTCAAATTTCAGCAACTCTGACGATGGTACCGACTTCATGTCTACATAAATAGCATTCTTCTTCGACATATCCATGTAATGGTCCTCGCCGATCATTTCTGCGGCAAGTTTCGACCCTGTTTCTTTGGCTTCACTTTCGATTTCTGGAAATGCAACCCAGTTTGTAGTTGTTGAGTATGTTAGTTGCGACGTTATGGCAGAAACACTTTCAGTCAGCACACTAGTTGAGTTGAATGCGTTAGGTGCGCTTAGCCATTGCGTCGTAGCACCAGACGTTTTCCCAGCCGCTTTGAACCCAGCGTTTGAAAAGTCTGCCCAGTTGGCATCGAAAGAAGAAAAACTGTCATTATTCTCCGACACCCAACTACTGTCAAACGGATCGCGCGGATCCAAGGCTGGAGAGGGCGTTTGGAATTGTGGGATACTGCTGCTCCAGCCCCAGTCAAGTCCACTAAAAGGGGGAGCCACTGACGCTGAACTGGTCGGAACACTCTCTCCAGGTTCACTAAAGTCAATCAACAAATCACCACTCGAGTTCGCACTAGATGAAAGTTTTGCGGATGACGCACACGGCGTTACATTTGATGACTCGGATGGCGTTGCGTTTTCTGATGGTATGGTTTCCAGAGCCACGGGATTTGACCGCGAGCGCACGTGCACGGGCGCAGTCTTCGACACGGCTGCATACAACGTGTTGTCTGTCATGTGACTTAAAGAGCGCCCGTACTGAACAGGGAACGCACGCTCGTCCGACTGATTGACCAAAGTTCTGAATCCCTCTTCATCCGACGATGTCGACTCGTCGGTCAATTTATCGTCAGTTTTGCTTAATCTTTTAACGAGTTTCTTTGCTGGATTCCAACGTTTCTTTCTCCGGGTACCCTTGCTTACTGACCCAGGGTCTGGGCTATTTGGGGTGGACTTGGTCCGTTCTGGAAGAGCTGGGGGCGGCGGCGTGAGCGGCCCGGAAGACGGTGCGTCAGTAATTCCAAGATATTTGTAGATGTCTTTCTTATACCTGTCTAATTCCTCATATACATTTTCTTCTTCCTCATCCTCATTCACCGAGGTTGGTATATTTTGTGGCTCTACGTTTAATACATTGCTGTCATTACCGCGTTGGCCATCATCGCCCCTAAAAACTGTATCGTCAGTGTCATTATCATCGATACTGTGATAAATACCAGATGCTACGGATATTTTTCTATGAAGGTCCGTTTTCCTGCTTAAGTCCGTTCCTAAATTGTCCATTGCATTTGATGCTGACACTGAGCCGAACGCACTGTCGCCAGAAGAACAATTAGAATCTTTGCGGGTTTCTGCGTCAGTGTCTCCAGAAGAGATTTGGGTTCGGAGGCCTGACAAACCGGAATCCTTGGAACTGTTGGAACTCTGGGAAACGGCGGAACCTGTCGACATGGCCCGAAGTTTATCGGAAGACGAAACGAGCGCCCGTGGACTGTCCGTTTTCTGACGGTTTATATGGCTGTAGCCGTCGTCAGCGACGTCGTTGAATTCTAACCCACAATCAGATTTGGAATGTTGTAACATAGGGACGGGGGAAGGGTTGCCATTTTGGGAAAACGTCTGTCGTCTAGGCGGCGTAGGGGGACCGCTATTTTTGGGCTTGTCCTTAAAGTCCAGACGATGATAGTCATCGTCCTCGTCGTCTGAAACATCGCATTCGCCGACTCGAAACGGAGGGGAGGTCACAGAGTTCGTTGAGGGTGATTGCCCTTCTGGTGATATTTGAAATGATGGTCTAGGGGGTGACCTCGACACTGGCGAGGACACTACATGAGCAGAATTTCTGTCAGTCGAAAACGTCAGTTTCTTTGGTCTTGGAGGAGTAGGCGGCGGCACGTCGCTGATACTCGACGAGGTGCTACTTCTCTGAATGATCGACCGAGACAACGGCGGGGAATCCTGAGAAGGCAGTTGACTGTTGCTTAGCAACGTGGTGAAATGTCCAAGACTGTCTGGATCCGTGTCCGTCCTTGGTCGCAGTTGTCCCATACGCTTTTGTTGGATGGCGGTATTCACGTTGGAAAAGATGGTTTGAAGGAGGGACTGTGCTTCTGGAGTGAACAGGTGAAACTCTCCAATGCCGGTGGCGGAATTCCTGCAAAGAGAATCCAACGTGTTAGACAACATATAGACGGGATTTACATTCCTCACAAAAGGCTCTATCCAAAACATTGCGTCAAGTGTACTGTTTAAATAAGTAAGGTACTCAGCAAAAATGGACACATTATTGAGATGTTTAAACATCATTTAAATGTCATTTACTTTGAGGTCGAATCAGCCACACTTAATCCATCATTCCAAATAAACAAACAAAATTTCAATAATAACGAAAAATGACAAAAAATGTAAGCTGCACAGAATGTTGAGGATTTTGCAATATACTCACTCTCCAGCTTGTATCACTAAAATCTTGTTGAAATCTTCGGGGTGGCATTTATTTGGCATGTAAAACCTCTTCAGACAGGCCAGCTTCCAAGTCTGTATGGTGCTGCCATCTTTCGGACTGTGTAGGGCCACGGAGAGAGGGGTCACAGTCAGAAAATAATGACCAGACAATGACAGCCGCTGTGCGTCCGAGTTCTCGATCAAAGAAACTTCGAATATTTCTGAAATTTGAATCATTGCAATTAAAAACATATGTAATTTAAACAATTCCAATAAAGCTAATTACTAAAAATCGAAAAATTTCACAAGAAACAAGCATCGTTGTTTTTAAAAAAGATTTGGTGGATGTTTTTTATTTGATTTTTTTCGGAACAGAGCATGCATTATACAATTTGATCAGACCTATAAAACCATTCGCTTTCGTGACTTTATCAAACCTTTCTAGTCAAGGAAATTAAAAGTTTTATTTGTCAATTATTATCAAAAATTTTCCCTATTGACAAACTGAGAGATAGGCCTATGTCCGCGAGATAACACGATCTTCACATGGCGGAAGTTATATGATAAATAAACAAAAATCCCGTCATTTTTGGCAACGCAGTTCGCCAGATTTTGGACAAGTGCGTACATTGGTACTAAAGTCCTATTCAAGTCCTTGGGGAAGCCGCTCCACTTTGTACTGTTCATCTTATCTTTGGCACGATTTGAGTCTTCCGCGGGATGGAATTATACCACCAATCCGACAAGAGTCACATTCCATGATTTCATTGCAATTCAGTGTAACAATTGGGGTAGTATTTAATGAAATATTAACCGAATATTTCTTCGAAATCGTACCTGTTTCAAACAGGCTTTGTGGGGTTAATAATTGACTATTTCAACCTTGTTCTCTCTGCATCTTTAGGTCTATGATCACGCCGTCTAGTAGTGACGTTCGAATGGCAATGGGAATCAAAGTTAAATCCAAAGGTAAACAATGATAGATGCAATTTTCAATGACATTGAACTAGTTGATTGGCCAATCAGGTGTTGAATTTTTAGGTCACAGGGGTCATTTATCAGAGCATACTTGCACTGTGGTCTCAATTACCGGGCTAAAACAATGGATATGCATATATAACCAAATGGCCTTCGTTATTTAGTTGTAGTACCGAGTCCCAAGTGGAATTCACTGCCCAGTAACGCAGTCTTCATGTGATTAAATGAAGTTATAGATGGTAAACAGTAACCAAATTATACAACGTGTCAACGCATTTATAAATATTTGATTTTAATCCCTGTTTTGAGTCCTATATGTAAAAAGTGAAAACGAGGACCTTGACCTGTGATATAAATCCGAAATACCGTACTACTAATATAGATACGGAATGAAGGCATTATTAAATCACCTATTTTCATGTGACATTGTGTAAAATCAATCAGGTGGTTTCCCACCTCCACCCACCCATCCACCCACCCAGAGATGACGGTAAATCCACCTCTATATTGTCACCATGTCTGCGGTTTCCAGTATTAAACACGTGTTTGACACCTTGTCTTTGGTTTCTGGTAACGGCAGAGACATGCTGTTAATAAAGGTGGATTTCTACCGGCCTCTGAAACTCAGGGTACCCCCCCCCCCCCTTCCCCGCCAAATGCACTGAAGTGATAACAGAAAGGCATGCGGCTGAATCCATGTCGTGCTCTGATAGCTGCCCACCCCGTACTACATGTACACACATCGTGTTCTGTGGAACATGTGACCAGATGATCAGCGGGATTCATTCGTCTGATCGCTGGATTTGGTGTGGGTTTTAGGGAGCAATAGTCTTGTGATCTGTTCCACCTCCCCGCCCATTATCAAGGCTTGTTTTCCAGATATTTATAATAATAATAATAATAATTTATTGAGCACATGAAATGAGTGTACATTCATAGGCCCTCTACACTACTAATTATAAGATACTTAAGTTTAAATACAAGTTTATAGAACGTTGTGGTATGGATTGGTATGGGCTATTTTTGCCCTAGAGTCTTTTTCCACGCCTGCCTCTCTCTCTCTCTCTCTCTCTCTCTCTCTCTCTCTCTCTCTCTCTCTCAGCAAAATAAATAAACTCAGACAAATTATCAACACAAGCTCATAAGTAGGTCCGAGCGTCCTTATTGTTTCTGATTTACGACCTTCATAGTTAAACCTCGAAGGTAAGGCACGCATGATCACTTTATCTAACCGGAGCAAGGTGGAGATTGCCTGATTGGTGATAGTATCCCCACTCTCCCTCCCCCTGTGCTGCAGCGTTCTCATCGTGCCTGTCGCCGTTATCTCGAGTCCCTTAAAGTTGGGTTAATTCTTAACCAGAGTACCCGAATTTCGATGTCTCGACTTGACACGGATTGTTTTGTACTCAAGTTTTTGTTGAAGTTTGAACACCTGGGAAGAAAGCGTGGACCTTCGTGACAGGTGAAAATGTTTGTGCGCGCGCGTGCGTTTTGAAAGAGGGAGGGGTGTAGAGATGAATATAGGGAGGAATGGAGAAAGGGGTGGAATAAAAAAAAGAGGGGGTAAGTAGGAATGAAATGAGGGCAGGGGAAGGGAGACAAAATAAGAGAAGAGGGAGATTTGAAGAAGCACCGAGATAAAAATTAAATCCAAACCAGTTCATGAAAAGTGAAATTCAGGACAACAACCAACCTTTAAGATTTAACCAAAACCTTGATACATGGTCGCACGCAGAATGACGTCATAAAAACTAAACCAAATTGCCACAACGTGATTATCACCTGCAGGCTTGTCGTGATTTGCAACAAAAAGATAATTTCTACAGGATCGTCTGCACTATCCACAAAAAGATCAAAGAAATCACGGCTACCTTGTGTTTTACACTTTGAATCACGAACCACAACAAAGGTACGAGCACCAAGGAAAAAGGGAAAAATGACGTCATAAGCCATTATCTCCCATCAGACTTATTCCGAATCGTGAAAAGATATAACTTTTGAAAAACAAGTTACTTAACCAAAGTTCAGATTGTTAAAAAATATGGTGTGGCAGTACTGTGTAGTGGTAGCCTGTCACACCGTGACGGTGCACTTGATACGAATCGCACGGTTCAAAAATTGAACGGGGGAAGCATCACTCCTTTTGACACCACTTATTTAACTACAAATCTTTGATCCTTGTTTCTCATTAAACAAAAATTCACCATTAGTATATTAATAAATCGATTAATCACACAGTTATGAGTAAGTTGTTATACATGTAGATTTTATTAATTTACTGATCAATTGATTCATAAATTATATTGATTCCATTTACATTTATCTATTGGCTCCTGCAAAAATCAGAAAAAAAATCTGTTTAAGCTTTCCTGCTCTTTGCTTTCATGTTTTCTTAACTTGCTTTAATTGTTTATATTTTCTCCCCATAAATGGATAATATTTTCTTCTTGGATGAATATGGAGTGACGTTTGAGTTGTTTACAACTCCCCATTTAGATCTAGATCACAGATAGTCGTGCGCACTTCACGCATTTATGTAGTTATTACGGTACTTAAGACGCCGAGATAAGAACCGGGCCTGTGTTGTTTACAAAAACCTTGATCGCTTCTAGGGTTTTAAAAACATATCATATTTTTGCATCCTAAATTACTCCTTGTTATTTAAATTATGTTGATTATGTTAATGATGACAGCGATTCCTATATGTAACAGTGAGCATATATGGCTTGCGTTATGCACAACAACCTGNGTGATAACAGCGAGGCATGCGGCTGAATCCATGTCGTGCTCTGATAGCTGCCCACCCCGTATTACATGTACACAAATTGTGTTCCGTAGAACATGTGACAAGATGATCAGCGGGATTCATTACACCTGATCGCTGGTTTTGGTGCGGATTTTAAGGAGCAATAGTCTTGTGATCTGATCCGCCTCCCCGCCCATTATCAGGGCTTGTTTTCCAGATATTTATAGAACGTTGTGGTATGGACTGGTTTGGGGTATTTTTGCTCTAGGGTCTTCATCATTTTCATCCCCGCCTCTCTCTTTCTCTCTCTCGCAACCCCCCCCTCTTTCTCTCTCTCTCTCTCTCTCTCAGCAAAATAAATAAACTCAGACAAGTTATCAACACAAGCTCATAAGTAGGTCCGAGCGTCCTTATTGTTTCTGATTTACGACCTTCATACATAAAAGGTAAGGCACGCATGATCACTTTATCTAACCGGAGCAAGGTGGAGATTGCCTGATTGGTGATAGTATCCCCCCCTCTCCCTCCTACTGTGCCGCGGCGTTCTCACCGTGCCTGTCGCCGTTATCTCGAGTCCCTTAAAGTTGGGTTAATTCTTAACCAGAGTACCCGAATTTCGATGTCTCGACTTGACACGAATTGTTTTGTACCCAAGTTTTTTGTTGAAGTTTGAACACCTGGGAAGAAAGCGTGGAGCTTCGTAAAAATGTGTGTCGGTCCTCGTGCGTTTTGTGAAAGAGGGAGGGGGGGGGGGGTAAAGACGAATATAGGGAGGGATTGAGAAAAGGGTGGAATAAAAAAAAAGAGGGGGTAAGGAGGAATGAAATGAGGGCAGGGGGAGGGAGACAAAATAAAAGAAAGGGGGAGATTTAAAGAAGCACCGGGATAAAAATTAAATCCAAACCATTTCATGAAAAGTGAAATTCAGGACAATAACCAACCTTTAAGATTTAACCAAAAGCCTGACACATGGTCGCACGCAGGGTGACGTCATAAAAACTACACCAAGTTGCCACGACGTAATTATTACCTACAGGCTTGCCGTGATTTGCAACAAAAAAAGGTAATTTCTACATGCTCGTCTGCACTATCCACAAAAAGATCAAAGAAATCACGGCTACCTTGTGTTTTACACTTTGAATCACGAACCACAACAAAGGTACGAGCCACCAAGGAAAAAGGGAGAAATGACGTCATATGACATTATCTCCAATCAGACTTGTTCCGAATCGTGAAAAGATAACTTTTGAAAAACAAGTTACTTAACCAAAGTTCAGATTGTTAAAAAATATGGTGTGGCAGTACTGTGTAGTGGTAGCAGGTCACAACGTGACGGTGCACTTGATACGGTTCACACAGTACAAAAAACTGAACGAAGGAAGTATCATTCCTTTTGGCAACATTTATTGAAATGCAATTCGTTGTTATTCGTTTATCATTTTTAAAAAGTTTTTCACCATTAGTATATTAATAAATAGATTAATCACACAGTGATGAGTAAGTTGTTATAGATATAATTAATTTACTGATCAATTGAGTCATAAATTATTTATTATATTGATTTCATTTACATTTATCTTTTGGCTCCTGCAAAAATCAGGACAAAAATCTGTTGCAGCTTTCCTGCTCTTTGCTTTCATGTTTTCCTAACCTGCTTTAATTGTTTATATTTTCTTCCCATAAATGGATAATATTTTCTTCTTGGATGAATATGGAGTGACGTTTGAGTTGTTTACAACTCCCCATTTAGATCTAGATCACAGATAGTCGCGCACACTTCACGCATTTATGTAGTTATTACGGTACTTAAGATGCCGAGATAAGAACCGGGCCTGTGTTGTTTACAAAACCTTGATCGCTACTGGGGTTTTAAAAATATATCATATTTTTGCATCCTAAATTACTCCTTGTTATTTAAATTATGTTGATTATGTTAATGATGACAGCGATTCCTATATGTAACAGTGAGCATATACGGCTTGCGTTATGCACAACAACCTGGTCGGTTAAAAATCTACCCAAAAAATTATTGGAAAAACCTTGTGTGATTTACCACACGCTGTGTTACCGCAGTGTCATCAAAAGGAGTCTTTGTGTGTTCAGTGACATGTAATTTTTGTTATCTTTTTTTTTTTTTTTTGCAGTCTGCCTATTTAATCCCCCTTGACTCCTATGGCCACTTGTTATGCTGTATCGATTATTCTGTGCAACTTTTTCTTGTATTTTTTTACTGCTTTTTTATAGGTGCGTATCTTTTCAACACACATGCAAGTGCGTGTTTTCTTTTCTAAATTGTTTTCCAAAAACAATCAAACAATCTTAAACATTTTTAAGACTTCTTTAGTATCAGCTATTGTCTTAAAGTCTTAAAAATTGTTATAACGTTATTTGGAAAAAATCAGAATAAAACAAGAAAAAATGGAATATATCTGATTTGTTTACCTGGTATCGCCAGCACAGCGTAGGGATTTATTGTCACCGGCCAGAAGATCTTCCTCAGGGCACTTATCCATCCCTGGGCCTCGGTCTCGCTCTCCCCGGCCAAACACAACACACTCTCGTCCTCCTGTATCTCAAAGGCGTACGAGTGGCTCTTGGACTTAATTCTCTGAATGCTACACACGTTTTCCAAGTACATCGTCAACTTGTCTGCCTGCCTTTTGCGGCTGCCCTCCTCGTCTTGAAAAATCTCGAGTCGGGCCAGGAATTTTCCGGCCGAAAGATCGCTCATCTGATGGAGGACCAGCCATTTTCTTTTCCACGCCTGAAATGTAGATACAATTTATTTATTTATTTTTATTTATTTATTTATTCGGCTATTAAATATATCACATTATATCATATCTTATTATAAGTTTTAAGAATATTTGCTCAAGTAAGACGTTTCCAGAAGAGACCATCCTCGTTCAAAACCTAGAACCCAATGAAACATGAAGCAGGGGTCCTAGGTTAAACAACGGGGTCAACCTGGTGCTGCCGGTCAGGTTTTGTTTACCAGCTTGAGATCATTGGTCCTCAATTTTAAAATGGCTTAACTATGGTAAAAAAATCAAATATTAGCAAACGTTGCCTTGAAAGTGGAATCCAAAGCGATTATGGATTTTCAATGTATTAGTGCATTTTTTTTGGAACCAATGTCCTCACATGCCTCTTTATTTTCAAATGAGGTGGTCAAAAAATTATGGAAGTACATCAGCCTTACCTTAATTCTAATCCCTCTTCCCTTGGCCGGCTGTTTGACATCCAGATACCCAGCCTTCTCCACGGGCTTACACTGGCTCATGGGAGACGATTTCGGTGGCAATATATCCCTGGTGTAGTCCGTCCTATACCCCAACCAATTCTGGAATCTGCTGAGGTTTGACCTATTTTTGGAGGTTGTTGTTTTCAGAAATTCACTAGAGTCTGCTAAAGTTGACCTATTATTGAGGTTGTTGTTTTCAGAAATCCTCTGCTGAACTGGCAGTGGCAGTCACGGGACAAGGGGGGAGTAAACAGCTGTAACTTCTCTGACCTATATAAAAGGAAACAATTAAGTAAAGTCATCGTCCTCTGCTATTGGGATTTGATTGAAAAAATTCAATAACTTTGAACGAAGATTGCGCTGCTGTCATAGGAAAAGCATAGTTTCGTTCTCTTATGAAAGAGTAGACCGTATATCATTGGACCGTACACATTACTCAATAGACGACCTTGTGATTATTGAGGCGTTACATAACGTGTTTTATAATGAAAGTTCCAAAGAGATATTTGCACATTACATCTAATGAAAAGTCCACGACCGACTAGATGTCTGAAAACAACCGTTAAAAATTTCAATCGACAGCAAATCACATCATTTTTTGACAATCAGGAAGTTTGAATAACACCCGTAAACAAACACTAAAACGTCAATAATACAATACATATAGGTCTTTTGATTAGGACGTCGAACTTTCAACCTTTAATCCCGCTTTAAATTACGACGTGTATCCAAATTAACGCATTTGACATACCTTAATTAAAAACTGACCAGTGCGTCCAGTGCCTTTCAGCGACGTCTCTCGCCCCTCTATCCTTCATAAAATTCTACAAGATGGTCACTTGAAAAACGTCCGATGTGTTCAAACGTCAGTTTATAAGTCCTTCAGCTAGAGTGGGTGACACAGATTTCAGAGGAGGGGGACGATCCAATACCTCGTCGTTACAGGCGCGATACGATAAGATAAACCGAGCACGTGGCTAACGAGTATCTACAAAACGCGTCGCCTTATTTTCTACTAGATGACATCAAAATCTCAAAACTTTAACGTAATGCCAACATAAAAATGCCCCTCTATATCAATAAATGAACAATAAAAGACATAAAGTAGCTGAGAAAAAATGCCACGTTCATGACTTAAAAGAGTTGATTGTTTGATGTAAGCTAAAATGGCGCATTTTTTCGGATTTTATCGTAGTCGGTGCCTGTGTTGGAATCTACAGTGACGAAACCGCCATACCGTAACGGGACGCAGATAAACGGTATCAGAGGTACACACCAATTAACAGGATTCGTAAATAACCTCCAACAGAGAGGTGGAAGAATATTTTCTTTGATGCCCCCTTGTTTACTGATTTTTTTTTTAGCCCGTGGGGGATAATGTTGATGAAATTGCTAAAAATCTTGGGCTCGGTGATATGATGACATCGTCCTTGTCCTAAAATTGTTTGTAATTTTTTTTTTTTTTTTTTTTTGGCATAATAAGAATAAACTGTACTTTTTATTAAATCTTACACGATTTTTAAATTTTTTAATCAATTTTATGATTGTATCCATGCTCCACTTCATGGAATATTTTGGGTTTTCGGATTCAAGCGCATGCTAATTTTCACCAAATTTCAGTGGAAACGTCTTGGCATCAAATGAAAAAAGTAATTATGAAGTATTTTCATAAAAAGTTAAATTTTCTCGCTTTCTCTACTCTTACCCTTTATCATTATTACACACGCCTATTCTAACAAGTCTGTTTCCCTTAAGATAAATCAAATTATTTATTCATTATTAGCGAATTTAATTTAGTAAGCGAGAAGCCCAGTGCCTTGATTTTCAGCAACTGGAAAAGGCACAGACATGCCCATTATATGATAAAGATGGGGTTTCCGTACGTTTCCAGAAAGTAACTATGAATCCCAGGGCGAAACACGACCACTTTGCAATATCAACCGGTGTGACAGAAATGGTAGTCCACTAGGCGGTTCACTATTAGTTTGTACATGTGACATTCGTCCCACATACTATCCCTTATACTCCGACTTACCCTTGGCTGTACCAATCATACTAGGGCTGTCATTCCTGTCGCACAGGCGTGAAAATTGCAGTAGTTGTGACAGTGCGAATACAGCATTCTCAACAGATATGTACATCTCTGGTCATCGCCTACATGAAGATTTGAATCGAGCTTCATTCACATAGTCATTTATATTCAACAATTCACATTAGTACAGCAATACCAAGATTTCTAAATTGTTCCGAAATATTTTGAATTGTTCAGTTCTTGTTACCTTCATACGCTCTACTGAAATGTGTAAGCTCTGAGAGAAAGGAACGGTTCGCATAAAAAAGAAGGAAAAAATAGAAGGCATTGCTCTTTTAAGAAAGTCTGGCTGTCCCCACCTTTCGTTATATTATCGTTTTATGTGTATGAGGCTATATTTATTGCCATTTAAGATGTAGATTACTTTTTTTTGGGGGGGGGGGGTGAATGTTTGTTTTATTTATTTATTTATTCATTTATCTATTTATTTATTTTGCTAAAATTATCATGGAAACTTGGAAATTGATACCTGGAATATTTTTATTTTGGATCTAAGACTAGTTTTGAGCTATAGTTACTCTATTTAATGGACTACTGCGCGTTTATCCTTAAATGACGTAAACCAAAATTTTAGTCTAAACGTGAAGTAAAACTTTCGGTCTTTTGCCCCCGTATTTGATATGGTATACATGTAGACCGCTCACCTGTCTATTACCAGTTTAACCGTAATGGTTTGGTTCGTTCCGACATGACAGATATACAGATACTGTCTCCACATGGTGCCTTCTCTGACAATCATAGAAATCCTAAGACTATATAAGAGATCTTCTGTTTACCTCACATGACAGAGAAGTAGCTCAATTCTTTATGCAAATGTGAAATACCTGCACTTTAGTTAAAACTTTTGGAGGCACCCCCCCCCCCTTAAAATGTAAAACGAGCGAAACGAGCCAAAAACCAGGCTATTTTTTCCCAGTCTTGTGCCTTTCATAGCCTAGCGTGCTGTTTTATACAAAGACTATATCTATTAATCTTGCACCCCTATCGCCCCCCCTCCAAACACCTGGTTCCGCCAGTGAAAACCAATGAGATTGTAGAAAGGTTGAGTTTTTTTAAGGTCAAGTTGAGGTCAGGCTGAGGTCATGTGATCGCGCGTGCGGTCATATCACGTGTTGTTATCTTAAATTACTACCTGAAGCATGGATTAATATGTCTGGGTGAATTTTTTTAAGAGATTAATTTAACACTATGATAAACTTCAACTTCGCCTCTATAATCTTCTCTTTATCAGTATTATAATGATGGGTTTCTATATATGATTTTAGTATGATGGTGCATTATACAAAATGCTGATGTGCATTTGGTTGAAAAAAAGGGGAAATTTGATTGTCGCGACGTGTGCGACCATGTAATTCATCGTTATGAATATTTGAGATGGGCTGCCCGTTTAAAATATTATTGTTCTTTGATAAATCTGTTTAAAAACGAGGAAATGTGATATTTATGTCTTTTATGCAGTATATGGGAGTTCAAGAAGCACTACCCAAACCACTGATAACAAAGAAAAAAGAGGTCTATAGAGATTTATAGAAATAAGATCTTCTTAAAATATTATGGATATATTTTGTGAAGTACAACAAATCATGCAGAATTAAAAAAACTGTGCGAGGGGTATAGTTTTATGAAATCTACGTCCGTTTTGGTATTTTTTTTTTCAGACTTCACCCAATCCTTATCGGCGTATTGCAGGAAAAAAAGAATTTGGGACAATCTGATGAAAAAAGACTGAAGCAGTATTTGAAAATTGAACCATGAACATGAGTCCAATGTCCCAAAACGTCATTTTCAACACGCTTGCACACGCACACACACACACAGTGCGGCGAGAGAGAGAGAGAGAGAGAGAGAGAGAGAGAGAGAGAGAGATCGTGGGGGAGGGGTAAGATAGAGAGAGAGAGAGCATCAGCATAGGTGCAACCAGTCCGATTAGTTATAACTTACATTTAGTCTCAGAATTCTTATCAGTAACAACAATTACATCTTTATATGAGGAAATAAAAAAAAAATTGGCGGTCAAAAGCTTTCAACCATACAGCGAAGATACATAAAATTATATACATTTACCGATGTGACATAAAATTACGACTTTCACTGTAATCTTACGTTTTAATAACGGGGCGTTTTAGCCAATCAGGTTGAGTCGATGATATTTTTCCCGATAACTTACGAAGTTAACTGTATTCTCTCAAGTGCCGAGCACTGCTGAAAAGGAGAGATCGTCCTTTTTATTCTCACAGAGGAAAAGCGCCGCGTGAAGGGATAGGGGAGATACTCAGAGCAGGATTAATATTTCAAAGTTCCTGATATAAAATAAAAAGGTAATGTAAATGTTAAACCTAGAGAAGTAGAACAGCCGAGCCAAAGCAGTAGATAAAACCGATGATGAGAAATGAATATTCAAGGAAAATTGTATATTGCGTATAAAGCGTAAATAAAAAGATAAATAAAATGTATAAAAGGCACGGAGAGAGACAGAGAAGGAGTTATCAGTTTGTATTATACCACTGTCATAAAAAAGTTTTCCAGAATGGGAGAACAACCAAGATATTTTAACATTTCTAGTAATCATTCAGTATTTACAGTTTTAATCAAACCGTTTACAATGAAGAGTCTTTTTTATCAATAATGGAATTTATGCTATGACCGTTGTTAACGTTTAATATTTCAGATGTTTCTCGGCCAATATTTCCCGCCACTTGCCTTGGTCGTCTGTTTGTTCGGACGCTGCACGGAAGGAGCGGAAAGACGTAAGTGTCATACAACGTCCAGACCTTGTTTCACGAAATAACCTTAATTTTTATTAATTTATACGGCTCACATGTGCAACTACGTTTAGTCGACCAAATAATGTTGGTCTAAGAGATCCGAGTAATATCAATCTATTGATACGAATGGACTGCTGCCACTTCTGAGAGTAAAACCATTACTGATAAAACATTTACTTCTCCTCGCGTCTCTCGTGTATAATACTCATAGTTAAAATGTTGTTGGCTAAGTTTTTCTTAAAATTGAAAAAAAAAAAAGACGAGGTAAGCGGCCTTTGAGATTCTCTTTGAGATCATCAGACCTTACTGTGCCTGTTTCATACAAGTACTTAAGCCCTATAATTGGTGTTAACTTTAAGACCAAAAAAGTAGTAAACTATTACCAAACATAAATCATTTTAAGAAAAATACTACTTCTGTATTATTTTAAGAGACATGCCGAATGTTTCAAACCAACACTTGCCTTTTAAGCTAAAAACCATAGATTCATCTTGAACTGAACTACACCAAATTTTAGGTCTATACAATTAGACAAAATTTCCTGCTAAATTTTTTAAAGTTTTTCTGTAAAACCGGCCACAGTTTAATAAGCTAGGTATGATTCTATCAGGTCTTATGGAAACGTGCGACCCCCAGCAGGATATCTGCATTGCTAAGTACTCCAGCTGCGAGGCGTGTGTAGGGAATGTGAACGGAGTTCCTTTTGGAATGATCGAGAAGAAAGGCGGAGTGCTGGAGGTAGTTCATATTTTATTTTAAATCATTATCAATCAATGATAAAGATAATGATGATGTTGATACAATAGCCAAAACCGCTCACAAAATTACTTTCTATAAATCCATTTCTGACTTATTATAGTTTTGGGATCCCTCTCGTTATGGAAACAGAGACTGGTAATTTTCCCTGACAATGAGAATTAGAATATTTTGAACCTAAAAACAGCAATTGTATTAATGGTTATATAATGAATATAAGTATAATGAATATAAGTATACATTGGAAATTAAAGGGATATATCTGTAAATTGCAGAAGAAATATTCACTTTCGCTATATAAAGGATAAACAGATATCTAAAATGTTCTTTATCGTTGTCGAGTGCATTTGTTATATCATTTCTTTTGACCAGACGTTGCCGGGTACCAGAGTTTGCTCCTGTTTGCCGGGCTATTCCGCGGTGAGCATGGCGTCTTCTACTGCGCTACTCGCCAGACGGAGGTTTGAGTGCGTTCCTGGTAAGTGAATTTCATTCGTTCAGTCATTTGCTCTCTCACCCATTCGACCAGTTTCTTTTAGAATTATCAATCTTACTAGTATAAAAATCTAAGATTTTTAAGGAGTTTTATCTCGTTAGTTTAAATTTAAGCTCACTTTTTATTCTGTTTATTGCATTTTTATCATAAACATGCTCTAAATTAAAATCTGTTAATTTAAGAGCTCATGACAGATATAATATTTTTTAATGTATATTCTTTAGATTAGCTGTATATTTTTCTTCTCCTTCTTATTGGTACTATTATTAGTATTATTTTTTTCATGCAGTCACTGGTATATGTATACATGTACATATTATTTATTTTAAAATGTTAATACTTCAACAGTCAAATCAAATAGCCTCCTGGAAACTTCTAAATCAAAATCACAAGTTCAGAAATAATGATGTACTGAATGTATTTTCATCAATGCATTTCACATTCACAACTCTAAGAATCTGTAGATGCATTCATCACACTAAACACAATAAGGCATACGTATCATTGAATGTTTGACCTTTATGAAAAAACAAACCTGGAATATTTTTAACTTTCTCCTTAATCACAACATCAAAATTACACAACATCCAATACAGTTGACAAATATATATATAGAGAGAGTTTTTCGGTGTGTGTGTGTTGGGTGTGTATGATACGTTTCTGCTTCTCATAATGGTGATGGCGATTGAATTTTACTCGTAAGTAAAACAAAAGAAATTTTGAACTCGGGATCTGGTTTAAAAATCATAATTTTACAACAGCTTTGGATAGCATATGCCTTGCGTATTCAGGGAATATTGTTGAATCTTGGACATGATAACGTTATTATGTCCAAGTTTGAAATATCCAGTTTTTTTAAGTGCACTATATGCCTCTAAATTGCGTCATAACAAACGCAATGAGTACGATCTCACTTAACACATTCTCCTTCCCATTTGCAGTGGAGGGAAGCACGTGCTTCACCGACGGCGACTGTAACATCCGGAACTTGGACTGTTTCCCTCTTCTCTCCGTCATGAATACCCTGTTCCAGGGCATCGTCCAGTCCTCGGACTCCATCTTTCCACCGCCAGGGGTCACTGGCGCCACTTTGACTATCATCCAATTTGTCGCCAACTTCCTGCAACTGATGACGCAGTTTCTGTGCGGTTTTAATCGAATGAATACCATAGATTACAAGTGCATTTACCAGGCTCCCGCCAAAACCCATAACAGCTATTCTATGGCCAGTCACTACGGGTTTGGATTCACGAAGGGAACACAACAAGGTTACGCCGGGATTTGTAAGAGAGGTCTGTGAAAGTCTTCTTCTTGTGTAGAAAATGATATTTCTTTCTTTCTTTTTTCTTTCTTTCTTTCCACAAGGGAGTCATCTGTAACGCGTTTATCCTAACCGGATTAACAATTTAAGTAAAAGTAAAGAAAGATAGAAAAAGAAACAAAATTTTGAGTTTGCTCTTTTGACTATTCACTGAATTCTGGAATGTTCAGAAGGGATAGAACAAGAGCTTTTCCAGTGCGTTGGTTGAATTTTCATATTTGTGTTTGAAGTATTTTCCTATAAAAGTTACGTTAGTTGGATAACAATTGTTTCAAACCTGATGTAGAGAAAAACATTATTTATAACGAAGTTTAACTCTCAATTTCAGAGAGTATTTTTTCCTCAATTCAGACGACTCTAATTGTATCATAAAAATCTTCAATATAATTTGGCGTCTGTGGAAGATGATGCAATTTAATTGTGATTTGTTTCATTCTTTCAGTTGAGCGGAACGCCGGATATCCAGCACGTGAGTATACTCAGAATATTTGATTTAAATCTGTAACTGTTTAAATTATTTTATACATTGCTCAGTATTGTCAAAGGACGCATGTCCTGTCTGTTACGCTCTAAACGCCAGCACCAATATCGGAAGAAAAGTCACAGATGGTCGACGCGATGAGACCATCATGGAGAAAATAAATTGTTGGTTAAAGTCATCTTTCTTGTTGTCGACTCTTTTGACATTATTCGTAAGATATAGTTATGATAATCGTTTTAAGATAAAATCTACCGGAGACTGATGAAGGATTTTGTGTTACGACGTTTCTCCATACCGCGGATCTCAATATGCTCCCATATTTTTAATGTTTTTATAAGCAGAATTGTTTAACTGAAACGTGATCTAACAGTCTTTTGTCCATTTTCCCACAATCATTTTTATCTATTCCTATAATTTTATTATTTTTCATATTTACAAAATCCTTGTTTTACTGCAACATATTCCATAAGTGATTTTTTCTTTGCTTTCCTTGCAGCTAAGGACGTCGGAAAAGGAGCCTTCCAAAGCCACGCTCCAATCGGTAAGTGTAACATTCACTTGAAAGTACAGATGGCGAGTTTATTAGCCAAAATTCAACTATCTTTATGGTATCTTCATGGTTTTCAAAGCATTTACCTATAACCTTTGTTTTTGGTGAAAATTTTACTTCGTTTTATTTCCAACTTTCAGAGCCATCTTATCACGGCGACCCTTACGGCACTCCTTCTTACGGCAGTTTTAAAGCGCCAACTTACAGCAGTTTTAAAGCGCCAACTTACGGCAGTTTTAAAGCGCCATCCTACGCCAGTTTTAAAGCGCCATCCTACGGCAGTTTCAATGCACCATCTTACGGCAGTTTCAAAGCGCCCTCTTACGGTTTAAAAGCACCAAACCACTACTATGGACACTCTACCTACTACTGAAGAGCTGGGTGATTACCGCTTAATTATATTGAAAACAAATTAACTTTATATACAAATGGGAAAACCGTGAGCATTAAAATTTAACGTTGTGTTAGTTCTTAATATGAAAAGAATTTAATTTTGGTGGTAATTTCATTATTTTTGCCTTAATCACCAATTTTTTACACATCATTAACCATTGAAATTTTACGATTTATAAACCATTTTTTTTTTGCGTTTTAATTTTCTTTTTGGAGAATTTTTGGAATGGAGATGGGAAGTTGAGCATTCCATTCGTAACGGTAAAAATGAGAAATGAAGAGGTCTAAAACGGGTTTATAGATCGTAATTTTTTCAGTAGGTTTGTCTGGGATCTATCTGGTGATAAAGTTAAAATAGAAGAAATTTGCATAAAAAAACGTCTGTTAATTAAATCTAACAAGCAGTGTATTAGATCGTTTAACTTCTACACCGAAGAATCCTTTATGCACGAAACTGTCGTCAAAATGTCATTAAAGAAAATACTTGTAGAATATTGGCGTAGTTCTAAAAAATAAAACATCAAAAAAGACGTCTTTGATATTGTTTCAAACTTTTTTCTTTGGATGCAATTAGCTGACGATGATGGCGACACCGGAAGTTACGCAATCTGTAACATTAAAGGGATAACAACTCGTCGTGTGAAATCTATATTTCACAATAAAAACATTGTAAACAACTCAAGAAAATATAATATATTCTATTTCACCACCAAAAGTGGCAGTTAAAGCAATTATTCTAAAATCTATGCTTGTCATTCGACCTTATGACCTCCATCGATGGCTATAGTCTGTAATAATCTCTTAAGAGATTATTAGAAAAAGAGCAAACTTTCTAAAAAAAAAAAAAAAAAAGGGGGGGGGGAATAAATTTGAATGTAGAAATGGATTCACTAACCATTGGTGAGAACGGGAAAATTGTTGTTTACCCCAGGAAAATTCATTTTTTGGCCAAAATGAACAGTTGTTTTTCCTTTAAAATGGAGCTCAGATAAAAACTGAAATCAAATAGCTCTCGTACTGCCATGTTTTGGGCTTTAACAGGTGGCTCCGTTTTTGTTATTGATTTTGTTTACTAACAGTGTACAAATAGGCCAGGTTGAGATGGCAGACATTGCAAAACAATGATAACAATAAAATAAAAATAGGTAAATTATAATAAATAAATAAAATGTTACCTGAACACAAATAAACATCCTCCAGCAGGGTTTTACGTACATGGTTAAAATTTAAAAGTGAATAGTAAAAAAAAATTCCTTTAATTTCAGACTAATACTTTATTATTGGCATCAGATTAAATGTGTTAAACACAGCTATTAATTATTCCAAACACAAATGGTTAGACGCTTTAAAAAATCGATTGTCTTGTTAATCGTGTTACCTGTGATTGTATACAATAACCGTATACCAAGATATTGCTAACCATATCTTCTCTGATTAAATTAACTTTGACCGCAGCGAATTTTACACTTTGATCTCTTGACGTTATAATGCGTGACCCAATACTTTACCCGTTCAGAAAATTGTGCTGGCATTCAGGGAAATTAACCAGAATGGCCCAAAGACATTGTTAACCTTTTTAAAGGATGTATGTACTTCACAGTGGACCTCTCATATAACGCACCAACTGGGGCAGCCATTTTTGTCTGCCAAAGGCAAACTCCGTTATAAGTACCCACTACCAGGGCTGCAAATGAATTGCGTGCTTTTTTTTACAGCAGAGAATTGTGTCATGAATTAGCCAGAAATATCTGTGAATATCTTGGGGGGAAAAAAACCAATCTGTAACCCTGGTTATACATATATGTTGTTCTTTGTCATAAGGCAGGAAGGGGACGTCAGACTCAGTGCCCTATAAGATGGGTGCTTAGTCTACGCGAGGCCATTATACGAGAGGTTGACTGTTTACAGTTAAGCTCAATAACTATATTTCAGCTACAAGAACACTAATCTGGAATCTACTTCTAGAGTCACGATCTGGTGAAAAGGGATCACAATCAAATGAACGATTTTAAATATAATTAAATATTATAAGTACCAGTGTCTGTCTTAGATATAATGTATAATATATAGACTTCTGTATTTTTACAGCATATACTTGGCTTTAATAAAAATAAATCAATATTGAACTTGCTATCCCTCAAAACAGCATGGGCCAACAGATCGAATTTTCTTCAAAATATACATCGAAAAAGTTTAATATATAAATCAATTACTGTACGCACATCAATCTGCGTTTACCAGAATTACATGAAAATTACCTGCTATGATTATCTCGACTTCTCGTCCATCAGTTATTTCAAACTGACCAATGAAGAAATGGTATAAATATAATAATAATACTGAAGTAATTTATCTAGGGAACATCGTTAAGAAAATATCAGAATTATTCAGTCATTTGAACTTATCCAAGCCTATAGGGGGCAGCACTTGACACAAGTCATCAAGACAGCCACCAAAGCATTTTTCATTTAAATAAAGATGGCAGCACTCCAAATATGATAACAAGACAATCCCATCATCAATCATGTTTTTCATACAAGGAAATTACCGTATAATCAGCCAAAGTAACCAGTCAATCCAAATAATGGATTCCTTGGAGTAAAAGTTTATACAATACAGCAGTCAAACAAAGCAGTCACATCTGAAATCCTTTTTCTCCCAGCAAAATATTACTTAACTAGGATTTGTGGCAATGAACTCAAGTGGCTACCTGAAAATCACTGTCAGGTAGCATTGAGATTAAACCTTTACAAGTCTACATATAGACTAAGAAAAATAATATGTTTATCCTTTGAACGCCAGTTTTGGGCCCACAGGACGAAAGATGAAATATTGACAAAGCTCTTTGTATTTTTCGGACATTCTTCTTACAAAGTATTGTGCATGTTCGTGTAAAATACATGTCACAAATTATGCCACGAATTGTGTATACCTGTAGAGGTAAGCCCAGTAGGTTCCTAGTTTAACTGCAAACACTAAATAACTATGAGTTATCTCCATAGAACAATTAAAAGAAAAGACAAACAGTTCCAAATAAGCAGTAAATTCTGTCTATACTATGTCTTATTCTAATGTTAAAGTAACTTCATCTGTCTATGTTTCAATGTGAGGTTCTATATTGAAGAAAAAAAACTTTTAAAGCATTTACTTTAATTATATAGGAGTGATTCTATTTTCAGTGACAGCATGCCTTAAAATGTCTCTCACTTTTCATGAGTCAGTACCCATAAGTGACATCAGTCCCTCCAAGCTTGGAACATAAATATACATACATGAGGATCACAAAGTCATCACAGTTACAGGAGGGTGGGGGTCACTTGGGGGGGGGGGGGGGGTCTCTGAAGGGAGGGGGGCACTGAGGGCGTGGGACATTAGGGGGTAAGGGGGGGTCACTTCAAGTTATATCTTGATCCTGCTCTTCATTTTAGTGACTTTCTTGGTCCCACTCTGAAAAGAAAAATAAATATTAATGGATAAAGATACTCGTCTGAAAAAAAATTGACGCTTCTTGATCTGAACATGCATTCATTTCATGTTCCAAGCACAAAATAATGAGTACTTTGTGTAATTTATAACAGAATCATTGAATATAATATTCAAAATACAATCTTTTGTATAAAGAAGATACATGGGACACCATATCAACTTCATAATTTAGGGACTGGACTTTTTCTATTCAGGCTACATTTTTACATTTCTGAAGTAGCTTTTACCACCACACAACAAATTTAGTGCGCACATTTTAATAAGTGTTCGTACATTAAAATATACAATTTTTTGCTGTTCAGTTTTGTTTGACACAAAACAAATAAATAATTCCCTTTATCAAGGTATTTTATCCACTGCAACCTTGTTCAACATCTACCTGTTAGTGCCATAATTCATCCAGAATCATTTAAAATGAAAATAAACACATTAAAATAAATAAATAAATAAATAAATATATAGTAAGAACTAAAACCTTTGTTTGTTGATCCGATGCCTCTCATCTGTTCTCTGAATCAGCTCTTCCTCGGTTTGTTTCAGTTTGTTCTTTATTTCCTCTGCTTCTCTTGTGTTTCCAACTCGCTCTGACTCTGCAATCTGGTAGTGAAGCTCCTGGGAACGATCTCGTAGGTCTTGAATACAGGCATAGATGTCACTATCNTCAGTAATTCCCTTTATCCAGGTATTTTATCCACTGCAACCTTGTTCAACATCTACCTGTTAGTGCCATAATTCATCCAGAATCATTTAAAATGAAAATAAACACATTAAAATAAATAAATAAATATATAGTAAGAACTAAAACCTTTGTTTGTTGATCCGATGCCTCTCATCTGTTCTCTGAATCAGCTCTTCCTCGGTTTGTTTCAGTTTGTTCTTTATTTCCTCTGCTTCTCTTGTGTTTCCAACTCGCTCTGACTCCGCAATCTGGTAGTGAAGCTCCTGGGAACGATCTCGTAGGTCTTGAATACAGGCATAGATGTCACTATCTGTACTTTGCTGGAAAGGAAAAGAAAGAATATGTTTTTTTGGATGAAATAAAAATTTTAATTGTGTCTGCAGTGAAGACTTTCTAGGTTCAGCTGAACCTAATATTATACATTTCAGAGACTTGTTCTTTTTACAGCTGTGACTACTATTTACTGAAATTAGTGTTTACTAAACCTAGTGTTCATCTTAAATTGAACTGGACTTCATAGCATTAGAACTCTCATGTTTAAAAGTAGATATGATGAATATTATAAAATCAATACATACTGTTGGGTTCCTCATGTCCACCCGGACCAGAAGGGCGGCCAGCTCTAGAGGTTCACTGTAGCCATTGGTCAATGGGACTGACCGGTAACCTGGTAATATAATATATGTATTATACTTAATACAGTTCTAGGGGTTCACTGTAGCCATTGGTCAGTGGGACTGACCTTTAACCTAATTCTATATCACATATTATAATTCAAATGTTGATACAAATGACAACATACTTATTTATAAAGTTTTGACATGGATCAAGTAATGGGCACAACAAAAGATATCCTCTTAGAATAGAAAGACCTTTACAGAACTATACTCAAGGACCTTTCCCTGCAGTGAACTAAAAGGACTGTTATTTTATTATATATTTGTGATATCAGAATTACCAATTTGGACGGTCAAGCATGTTTTGGAAGTATCTTTCATAATCAGAATTACAAGATCTATGCTCAAACTTGTATTTGAAATCCCAATAAAATCCTTAAACATACATGTGCTAAAGAAAATTTAAAATATTTTTCTAAAAACTAGAACAATTTACAACATTTTTTTACCCAAAATTGAAAAATAAAATTTTACCCCATTTTTTTTGGCAACTTGGCTATTCATATAATCCATTTATATCAGCCCAGACAATCTTCAGATCAGAAACTTACCTGGTCTGATGCTCTTGACTGGGAAAGAAGCCTGACCGAGGAAGTTAGGGTCCCCAAACATGTCTTCATCCTGGACCACAAACCTTATCATGGCCACCTCGGGGTTGATGATGTCAAACTCACACTGGTCATTCCACACTGGGTTGAATCCATTGTCCACTACAGAGAAGATACATGGTCAATGTTATAATTAACATATAGCATTTCTTCATTACCAGTTGTTCTTAATATAATCAACATGACAAGTGATTCACTGGTCCAGGAGCAAAATTCTATGTAAAGCTCACACTGGTCATTCTACACTGACTTGAAACCACTGTCCACTCATTAGTTACATATATACTAGTACAAACATACATGTACACATACAATGTAGTTTATTTAGAGGACAAGTCATATTTCACTCTATGGGCATTGGTATTACATGATCACAGTGTTGAACAAACAAGATTTACCAAAATCAAAGTACAAATTGACAGACGAATCATTTAAAATTTTGGTTTTTAAAATGACACCTTTAATTCAGAGTATTTTCTTACCCTTTGTTCTAGTTTTGTATTTGTTTCCATTGTCAAATTCCGCTCCACATATTTCTACTTCTACAAATGGGCTGGCAATCCCACGGCCAGATTTGACTAAGTGGCGGGCTCCTATGATCTGAAAATTTAGTACATAAATTAGTAAATAAATTACAAAATATTAAAAATATGTATCTTAAAGCTGGTTTCCACAGAGAGTTACTTTACAAAATTATTATTACAGTGCTTCATCCAATGTTACCCAAAACTTTAAAAACTGAAACAAACCCACTATCATAATCCTTTCAAGACCATTCTTTTATCTTACAACAGTGAACATAACTTCTATGATTTGATGAAGTCAACAGTTACTGTAAATAGCCTAAAAAGGAATTGGTCATAAATACCAATGTACTCAATGTAACAAAGTTTGATATTTTAAAATATTGGTTGTAAACGTTAACATACTGTTAGAGTTACTGTGAGGGGATCTACGTTGACAAGTGTCCGTTTGTCAAATGGGTCGTAGTCAATGTGTCGCATGATTTCTGGCTGGAGAATGTAACCACACCTTAAAAAAGAAGAGAAAACTTGGAGTATAACCACTAGACTAGAAAAATTAAAAAAAAAATTCATCTCATAAATATAACTGAACTGTTGTGCATCATCACAAAGCAACCTGATAAACAGTCCTTTCACCTTTGTTGTTACATTATGATATTTTAGCATGTGGAAAAACCTGTTAAGCCATTAATTTTTAATATCTGAATATATTTCAATATTTTAATAAACTTAAATATCCTGTTGCAAACAATTAAACCAATGAACAGGCCAATAAATATATTTAATATTTGTAGATATCTACACCTCTAACTTATATACACTTAATGACAACAGAGCTTCATTCCCAATGCCACATTCCTCAACCATTTTGTAACACCTATGTCTACTTCATGATTATTGCTAATACAGGGAAAAAAATGAAAAATAAATAAATAAATAAAAGATTGTTGTACTCACTTTCCATTCTGTTTGAATTTCCCCTCATTCAGCTGCATAGAACGATCTACAAGGGGATAAATGAGATTAGAAATACGTAAAAGCATACAGTGTGCATCAACTGAAGTTTACAAGTTAAAGAAAAAAACATGTAATGTCTGCCACGTTTGATGGCAATGGACTGGCTGCCTCAAAATATTTTGAAAATTAAAAGCAACCCCCACCATCCCCAATGTTCAACTCTGCTGGATCCCCAACTTGGAGACCAACAAACTAACCCATTTGGTGACTGATAATTATGTACTTCCACTAAAAATTATGATCACATGAACAGTAAATCCCTCCTTGGCACCCCTTCCCCACTCTGAGAACAGTATCCCTTTCGGAGCCCAATATCCTGCTCCCTTCTCTCTGACACCAACTCTTCCCCCCTCCCCAAGCAATGAACTCACCTGGTGTCTGGTAGTTCAGGGCACACATCTGTGACCCACATATCCACAGCATGGTGGGGTCATAATTGGAAGAGTCGATTCTTTGACCTTTGGGGTAAATCCTGCTCAGCTGGTTTTGGTTATACTTCATGAAGGTCTGGCCCTTCAGTTTGTTCACATATTTTTCCACTTTGGTCTCTGAGAAGCTGGACATTTCATAGTAGTTCCCTGGGATATCTGTGGGAGAGAGAGAGAACATGATGGGTAATGTATATCATAGTAGTTCCTGGGATATCTGTGGGAGAGAGAGAACAGGATGGGTAATGTATATCATAGTAGTTCCCAGGGATATCTGAGTGGGAGAGAGAGAGAACATAATGGGTAATGTATATCACAAACGGCTGGCATTGTATTATTAGGCATCCATAGGGCAAAAAATCCCTCCAAAAAATGTGTATCTACAAAGTCGCAACATCTCTAGGTGTGTTAGTAAGGGTGCATCTCTCCCTCACTTGGATTCTCTTTCTCTCTCTCTCTGGATGTCAGTAATTTTCCATTGCATTAAAAGTTTATAAAATTTGTGGTAATATATAAACAAATATTTTAATGTATTTTCTGAACTTAAAATGTCCAATTGATAATTACTAGACTATAATGGTATTTTGTCCTCCTCAAAAGAACTAAGACTTAGGAAGTAGATTTGACAACTTAGAGTACATTTCTGTCTCCTTGTATAACTTACTGCTTTCATTAAAAGGCACTGAGCGACAGTAAACTATTATGTCAGAGAATTCTTTGGCAATCCTTAAAGCTCTCTCTTGGTCTGCATGCTCTTTACTCTGAAATAAATAAATAAATTTACACTATTAATTACAAAGATGAAGTGTAACTTCAAGTGAAATATCTTAAAGTTCCTAGCATATTAAAATGAAAGTTTAGGCTAATTGGAGAGAGAGAGAGAGAGAGAAAATTCTCCAACTGGCACTTTTTGGGCCACCATACCCTAAGTTCCGCCATATTTGCACAATCCTTGATGGCCTTCATCCAGTCCAACATGTCCTCCTCGCTGCTGGCGGCAATCTCTAGAGGCGTGCCGTTGGAGATCACACGGAATACATACTGCTTTGAGCCCTTGCCACCTTCTATTTTATCTGAAAAGAGCAAGTCAACAGTATTAGGTATTGCTTCATTGTTTAAATAATATTATTTCTGTTTTTAACCAAAACTCATTTTGTGAAATATGCACTGTTGGTCAAGTGATATCTTGAACCTGCAGGATAGCTAACCAGTCAAAGAATTCACCTCTTTCTTTTTCTTTTTTTCTACGGAACATTTTACAAACCACGGCCAATACAGCTTGCCTTAGGTTCTATCAAATCCAAACACTTTCCCTATTAATTTACTTCTGATTTTTCTACAACACGATATAAACAGAGATGAAAGTGGACCATTTAGAAAAAATCTGGAAAATCCAAGTGTTGAAGATGCATGTGTCTTTGAAGGGGGGGGGGTCTTGGGAATATAAATACAATACCCAAATATATCCAAAAGATTTTAACCCTTAACTTAATCCATCTGTACGTCATGCACTTACCCACAATGCAGCAGGTCACTTCCAGCATGCCCTTCTGCAGTGAGCCCAGGGGCGTCGAATCAGAATCCTCGGATATCTCCAACTCTTCCACATAATTTGATGGGAACCACATTTGTTTATTTCCACCATAGTCACCACGCCACCTGGTGGTGAGATAATTTGAAGGAATGTCAAATAGAAGACAAACTGTACTCAGTGGCCGGCAGTCTTAATAATTATAATTTTAATCAATTTATTACTCATTTTTTGTGCTGTAAATTAAGTTTGTACTTTACAGGAATCTAACAGTTCAACATTCTACATGTATATGGGGAAATTTTGCTTCATGGCCGTATTGGTACATGACATGCGCTGTTTCATTTTGATGACAAATTTTTAGTGTATAGATGAATACAACTCAAAAGTAATTTTAGCAAAGTTTCTCTTCCATAAAAAATTCAAATCACAGGTAATGTGATGACAAATCAATGCTTAAAAAGAACAATATATCTACAAAAGTCTTACCATCCACCATCTTGCTTATGGACATTGCTGACAATGGCATGCTTGCAGAAGGACAGCTCATCTGCTCGCTGTGCATGATAGTCGTACAGGGCTTTCACTTTGACCTTGAACACAGTGGAATAATAATGTAGATTGAGGTTCAACCAATGATACTGTTAATAACTAATATTTGATATTCAAACTAGATACAAATATAAACTCGACATATGGAACCTTTTTCTTTCATAGAACTTTAAAATGTTATGTATGCATTTCTTGATATATATTTATGTACAACTTATCATTCTTTATGTAATACCAAAATACCTTAGTCTCTTCAAAATCATTTTTATGTCACATTTCCACTTTGAGATTTACAGCTAAAATCAGCCCAAGAGCAAAATCAAGCAAAAGAATAACAAAAACATTGTCTAGTGTATCTTAAATTGGAAAACCAAGCAAAGATACAAGCTGAAAACAGCACCCCTATTCTCCGTTAACAAAAACTTGGGAGATAAAAGCACCAAAAACCAACTCACATTTGTGATAAACTCCAACTCGTTGGGATCAGCATACGAGTTACCTTCATAAATGGACTCCATTTGCGGGTCCTAAGGACGGGGGGAAAATGAAAGGAAAAAATGTCATGCAGGAGAAAAATGCACTGTGAAAAATCACAAGAGGGCTACAATTGCCAATATATCATTTTGCGCCATGCAAATCAAGAGGATTACTCAGGAATGGTGTTCTCTGCTGTGAAAGCCACTGTAAACAAGGGGTAATAAAAATTTCACCTGAAAGTGTGTTGTTTTGGGTGTTGCCTCCAGAGAGGGGGGGGGGGGAAGGGACCAGGGCATTGCTTGGTAAAGGAAAAGCTTAAATGTACGAACTTTGTGGCATGCACTGATAGGATTTGTTT